ACAGCCTGCTGAGGGCTTACAGCCTGCTGAGGGCTTACAGCCTGCTGAGGGCTTGCTCTGGGTCTAGGGTCCTGTAACTCCTGTAGCCTCTATAGACCACTTGCTATCCCAGTCACTGGTGTTGACTGACCCTGGCTGGTCTCACGTCCCCCTTGGGCAAGGTCTATTCCTGCTCAGCAGATGGTTGGAGGATTCGTGTCTCACATGTCCCTCAGTTCGGGACCTGCAGCTGGCCGTGTCTGTGAATGAACAGGAAAGTGCAGACAAGATGTCAGCCAGTCCCGTGTCCCTACTTCCCACCTCTGCCCCTTCCCTTCACCACATTCTGTTGGAACAAGTTCCCAGGGCAGAGTATGGATCCCAAGGCGTGGGTCACATGAGGTCCAGGGTCTTTGAAGTGTCAGGGAGGTAGAATTCCCAAAGGCATTCAGTGAGAGGAGGTAGTGCTGGCCCCTGGGCCATGTCCAAGTCACTTCACCCGCATCTCTTCTTGTCCTTGTCATAGGCTCTGTAGGTGCAGATGATGGCTTCCGCAGCCTGTACAAGGCCACCTTTGACAACATGACTTCTTATCTGAAGAAAAAAGAAGAGAGACTGCAGCAGCAGCTGAAGAAGCGTCAAAGGAGCCCCCTTCCAGGGTCCCCAGAACAGACCAAAAAGGCGTGCCCAGGGCAGTCAGCCCTTAGTTGCTGACCTTGGGCTTGGCTATAGCTCTCATCCCTGAGGCCCCATGGGCATCTCTCTCCTCCCTTCTGCCTGGCTCATGCCCAAGGAGGGAGATCGTGGCAGCTCAGTCCCCACCACTAGCTCAAGTCTCCAGAGACTCTGTCACCGAGCACAGGTGCCTGCCTGGTGCAGGGAAGACAGGTGGTGTCAGCTTAGCAATGAGTCTATAGCTGTGTGGAAGCACCTTCACATTGAAGGATACACTGACCCACAGGACCACGCACGTCTGTCAATGCCCACAGTGACATCCCTGGGATCTCTAGGGAGGCCTGCAGGCAGGACTTGCCTTTACCTCAGTGCCGTTGGCTCTTTGGTGAAGCTGTGTGTGGCTCACGGAGCTGCTTGCTGTTATGAGGCAGATTCAGTTGGTGCTGGTTCCCTAACGCTGCACTCCTGAGCAGACCAGACGGAGCAAACATCAGGGCTATGAGGGTGTGACCTTGGCGGGCCAGCCTTGTTTTACAGGAATGATGGTCACCTTGTGGCTCTGTTGCTTTGAACTCTGCATAAAGTGCAGAACAGAAGGGATTGAACAGTACACAGTGTCAATAAAGACAAGCTTTGCATAGCTTTCTCGAATGTTCAGCAGCGGCCTCCAAAGTTGGTCTTAAAAGACATCCAATATGTTTATGCTGTTCAAATGACATGGCTCTTGGTGGTTAGAGAGGGGTGTCATCCAGCTCTCCCTACTCTATGTTATGTCCCAGGCTGAGAGGGTTGGTGAGTAAGCAGCTGCTGGGGAAACAGAAGACCCGAGTTCAAGTACCACCCAAACATACAGAACAAAGATGGGACATAGCCTAATACTGGGGTTGTAGACTAAGACAGCCTAGCCTAAACAGTGACCTTTTAGACTCCTCCTGTCTCAGGATGGAGAGTAATAGAGGAAGACACCCTGTGTCATCCCCTGGTCTCCACTTGGACGTGCACACACAGTAGGAAGAGTCTTGTGGCCGTCAGCAGCTGTGCTGTCTTCAGTCAGTCCAGAGGGTGGCGTTCATGGAGCAGGGTACTCACGCCTGTCTAGGAGCTAATGTGCTTCGTGGGCGCTGAGATGTTTGGTTTCTGGAAAAGTGGCTGTGCGAACAGGGCTGGGTCCTGTGACCCGAGTTTGAAATGGAAATAAAAAATTTCATGACTTTTACGTCTGAGGGCCCAGGAATACAGCTTTGTTAGGACAATGCTGCGTTCTCAGCCCTTTGGTCATGTGCAGCCTTTGAGCCAGGTAGAGCCCGTGCCTGCAAAGCAACAGTCCTCATAGGGCCATCATGGCCCGGGGTCCATACAAGAAACCATGAGACCCAACACTGTTGCTGAGAGGCATCCGAGGTCCCTGATTTCTGGCTTGTAGGCTCTGAAATAGCCACAGTCGGTGATGGAAGCTCTCATGTCAAAGAAATGAGATGGTGCTTTCATGTTGGGGGTTATTCCTAACGCCCTGATGTGTCACAGAGCCAAACAGCAGTGAGTAGCAGGTGGGCCCACCCCAACAACCCCAGTCCTGTCTCCACTTTTCTTGATAAGCCCATGGTGTTCATGAGTGCTCCTGCCCTACAACGATGCCATCCCATCTCCTGTGGATGTCCTGGGCCCACTTACCTGTCTGAGTGGCCAGTGAGAGCACTCAGTGGTGTGGGCTGGAGGAGGGTGTCAGGCCTTCAAGGCCTAGCCAGGCCACAGCTGACTGACAACAGGCTTGTGCCTGCCCTCTGGCTCTGACTTTCCAGGCCCTGGAGCCATCAGTGGCTCCTGTTTTCCTTAAGCAAAGCTTCTGAGCCTGTAACTGGTCCCACTTTGAGGGTCCTTCATGCCTGTAGGTTGGGTACATAGCATTATTTTTTTACCAGACTCTGCTACCTAGCAGGCTAGTCCACATGCCTACATTTGAAGTTGTTCCAGACATTTCTTCCATAGTACGGTACATGGAGTCCCATTTGTATTGGAGACTTGTGTCTTTTAATTCGTTTTAGGCCAGTCTGATGTAGGCAGTTCATGCCAGGATTTCAGCTAGTGTCAGGATGGCTTCACCTCCCTCAGCATCTCCCTGCTTCCTCTGTGATGCCTTGTTGCCAGAGTTGTTCCCGTGAGGCTGTCCACCAGTCTCTGATAAGACACCAAGGCAATTTATAAGACAGAAGTTAACCGGCCTTACAGTTCCAGAGGGCTGGGGTCCATGCTGGTGGAAGGAGGTGTGGGAACAGGTGGCCGGAGCTGCAGCTGAGAGCTCAAATCGCCCACAAGCAGGAGGCAGGAGGCGGGCCACACTGGGAGTGACACATCAACAAGGCCATAGGTCTTAATCCTTCTAAACGTCTCCACCACTGGGGGCCATTCCCATCCAGACCAGTGCACAGAGCCCTCTCCTTTGCTGGTTTATACTTGGCCTCTGTACCCCCTAAACCCCTGCCTCATTAAACTTTATCTTCATTCCTTATTAGCATGTCGTCTCTGCCTCTTGCTTTGAGAGAGATTCCTTGCACTCTGCCTCGCTTCTGATTCAGTCCATCCGGCGGTGTTCATAGTTCTGTTTCATTATGACGGGAGGTCACGTGGTGCACAGGTGAAATGCATGCGAAACAGGGCATTCACTGTTCCTGGGACTCCACACTGTCTTGTACTCGCCTACCAACACTGGTGGGCAGACTGACCTCTGTACACTCCTGTACTCGGCCGCTTTTGCTGAAGCCTCTAAGATGTACCATTGCACATGGCTTAAGTGGTCCATCTGTGAAGATATCAGTCTGCTCTACCCACAAGTACTGGATGGTTTAAAAGTGTTGGCCGATAGGAAGACTGTGGTGGTGAGCATTCGAGTTCTTGCTATTTGGTCCACAGGGAAGCATTTCTGTCAGGTACAGAGATACCCATTAATGTCTGTAGGAGATTCTAGCACTTCCAGGATAGCAATACCCCATATTCTGCAGATGGTCAAGTCCGTTGCATAAGGAGATTTTGTAGTACACTCTCCATGTGCTCTCGCCAACCCTCTGAACTTGCTTTTGATGCAGTGTAAGAATTCTCCAATCCTAGATCCTGAAGATTTTGTCTGATTTTTCCAAAAGGTTCCTGGTTTCATTTCACATTTTTTTGGTTGTTTTATTCAAGACAGGGTTTTTCTCTGTATAAAACCAGGCTAGCCTTGGGCTGGAGAGATGGCTCAGCGGTTAAAAACATCGACTGCTCTTCCAAAGGTCCTGAGTTCAATTCCCGGCAACCACATGGTGGCTTACAATCATCTGTAATGGGATCTGAAGCCCTCTTCCGGTGTGCCTGAAGAGAACAATGGTGTATTCAGATACATAAATAAGAAAATCTTTAAAAAACGTTGCAACAACAACAAAACCCAGGCTAGCCTCGAACTCCCAAAGATCTGCCTACCTTTGCCTCCTGTGCTGAAATTAAAGCCATCTGCACCACCACACCTGGCTTTCATCCCAGTTTTAAGTTCACAGTCTACTCTGACCAGATGTCTCAGTGAGCTCTGAGACTCTCCTGTCTTGACATTCTGTTGAATTGCATCTGTTCGTTTTCTTGGGTACAGTTCTAGATTGTGAGTTTACAGTCATTCCCCCCCCCCCCTTAGGCTTCACTGCCTTGCTCTGGCCTGTAGATGTCTCCTCTGCTATGTTCTGTGAGCTCTCAGAGTTTGAGTCCCTCAGCTCTTGAGCACCCTACCTGCTTTGCTTTGTTTGAGATGGACCCCCAAGTTTTCTCCTTTGTTTGCAGACACAGTGCTGAGCTCTGCCACTAGAGGGAGCAGGAGGTACATCAAGGATGACCGGGCTCTGACTTCCAAACTGCCTTTTCTGGGTTTCTGTGGTATCTGCTTGCCTGCAGTGATTTTGCTAGCTCTCGGTAGGGAAGGGATTCCAGTGTGAGCCTTGGTTGTCAGCTCTTTGACAACCCCACCATCCTGCGTGACTTGGTCACTTCCAGCACACAGGTTCTGCATCTCAGATGCAGGGGATGCTCGGATCCTCAGCATGTAGGCTCAGGACTTCTTTGTGCCTGTCGCCTACCCTGTGATGGTGACTACCACCAACAATATACATTTTCTTACTGGGCACAGGGTGACTCTTCCTGCTGCTTTTGAAGCTTTTTCTTGATCGTTTGTTTTTTTGTGGTTTAATCTCTCTCTCTCTCTCTCTCTCTCTCTCTCTCTCTCTCTCTCTCTCTCTCTCTCTCTGTTGCATACATTCTATTTGGGGTTTCCTGATTACTGTTGAACTGGACATTTGCATCAAGCATGGGACATGCCCAGCTTCTACCTATTTCTGTAGTTGTGACTCTGGTGTGCCTGGCTTGGTCTGGTGACTTCCAAGCCTTTGCTGTTGGCTCATCTGCAGGCTTCTGTTTCCGCTGTGCCTCAGTTTGGGTAGACTTCAGCTGACTAACCTTCCCTTGTGGTATCTAAAATGCTGCCGCCGAAGGCCAAGGATTCTTTATTTCAGTTTCGACCTAAGCCTTCCGTTTCTCCGACAGTCACAATTTAAAGCCTTAAATTCATCTTGTGAATTGGGGTATGCAAGGGCTCCTGCTTGCGGTGTCATCTGTGTCATTTCTACATCTGTTTCTGGGGACTGGTTGAGAGGGAGAGGGAGAAAGGAGAGAGAGACGGAGAGGCAGTATGTGTGTATTGGCATGTGTACATGTCTTACATTTTTTTGATTGTTTCTCTGTGTGTGTGTGTGTGTTCTGTTGTATGATGGAGCTTTCTACAAACATGCTTCTCTAAAATGGGTAGTTTTTAATGTAGCAATTTTCTGAGATAAAACATTTTGTCTTAGAGGATGCTTGCTTACCACACCAGATGTTTCTCTCTCTCTGTCTCTCTCTCTTTCTCTTTCTCTCTCTTCCTTCCCCCTCCCCCACCCCCCATATATGTGTGTGCAGGGAAGCTCCTTAAGGAAGTTAGCAATCCAAAGCTTTCAGGAAGTCCCTGAAACTGACCAGATAAACTAGCCCTCTTTCTCCCCAAGCATATAACTGGGGAGACTAGCTAGGCAGTGGTGGTGCACACCTTAAATCCCAGCACTTGGGAGGCAGAGGCAGCTGGATCTCTAAGTTTGAGGCCAACCTGGTCTACAGAATGAGTTCCGGGACAGCCAGGGCTGCACACAGAAACCCTGTCTTGAACTTGAATCCCGCCCCCACCCCCAATGGTCAGACAACCTGAGCTTACTAGAAGAGGCTCAGGCCGGTAAAATCACTTGGAAGAAACAGGAATCAATGAAGATGCCTAAAGTGACCACAAGAGACAGTACCCCCCCCTGCCCCCGTCAGGCTGCCTGCGGGCTGTGCAGCATACTCCAGGTTTCCCAGACTCACCCATGCTGGGTAGGCTTTTGGTGATGCAGCTGTCTTTGAGTCATTTCTGCTCCTGTAGTAACCCCAATAACACTCACCGGTTCACCACACTGGCTTTGGTGGTGTCCTTCCTTTCTTGGGGCTGCCATTGGTCCCCTGTCTGGAGCGCAGAGGCATCCGTTCACATCGCCCCAGGAACAGAATCACGAGAGGGCTCAGTAACAATCTTGGATGTTGGTTGTCTGTGTTGTTTGAAGCAGGGTGTCTTGGTCATGGTT